TATAATTTAAATCAATAGGTAATACTGTATACAAATGATGAAAGGCATGCGAATAAACATATAAATTAGTAGTTTTACTATACACTTATTAGGTAGTGAGCAAAATTGGATTAAATTGTAATAATCATTTAACTGTGGCATGTATAATTCTCGTCCATACGTTATATCGAGCATCAAGTACACAGAAATATCAAATAATTCTGCAATATTATTATTTGGACATATTTTGAAACATAGCTTTATGTATGGATTAAGACATACTTTTACGCAGATATAAATGCAGAACAATATTCGTTGTCAATTCTATGTATGTCTGATAGTGATATATGTTGGGAAAAAGGATAGATTTTTAATCGAAGCAGTTCACTGCATTAGCACGAATCCCAGACATTCGGCGAATCAAGAACTTGCTGTCAACGCTGTGGCGCTGCTTTTGGTTTTGGCATTTTAGCTAATATTGCCGGCATCTCGTTCTTTTCGTCATATTTTTTCCACAATTCATATAAATTTATTATGTACCGTGCTATCTCTTGAATCTTTTCCATATCTGCGTTTAATTCCGCAAACCACGATTTGAGATCTTTCTGCAATATCACGCAAGCTATTTGCAAACAGCCTGTAAAGGAAAATATATTGTCATTAAGTTTCCTCGTGATATTGAAGCATCGAGAAAAACAATTACTTGTATCTTACCAATAGCTATTTGATAAGGCGGATATAACAAACATACGTCCGTTCTTAGACTGTCATTAATAATACGCCACGCAAGCATAAGTAACTGATCATCTGGTCCCACATCCTGAATTAATGTTAACAAAGGACGGTATGGTTGATATACTATCAAACAACAGTCCAAATGTTCCAAAAGATAAAACTCACACTCCAAGATATGATTTGTACGATATGGAAATTCCTGCGAATACGCATAACTAAATTTGTTCTTAACTAAAAAAAAAAAAAAAAAAATAAACACGACATTAATCAAACCGTTTAGTTAGACACAAGTCCCCAACAAACTGTAACAGTGGATTCAATATATCATGGAACTTACTTACATTTCCCATTGTCGATATCAGTCTACTATTAGAAATTACTCCAAACTCTTCTACTTTTGATGCCAGAAAGACTGTAGTAGGAGCTAATAATAGAGGGTCTATGCATTTTAAGCTATTGCGAGCATAAAATCTTTTAAAATAGACTGTCGCAGTAGCTACCACTTGTTGCCTCAATTTTAACTGTTCACCTATCATCTGTATCACTAGTGACAGGATTTATGTATGAATGTAGTTACAGATTATGTTACACATAGCATATGCTTGGTAATATATACGACAAAATGTAACACAGTCTTCCCTACTTATGAACGATAAATTACAGCTTGGTAAATGTTAAATCCTCGTTTTAATGAATTTAATAATTCACGTAAAATATGGATTTCACTGAACCATTTAACATCTTTGTTAACAGACGAAAGTAGATAGTTTTGCTGGATGAAAACTAGCTGTACGTTTCAATA